TGGCTGGGGCTGGGTGTTTAGCAGTCCTGGGCTCCCTCTCCCTCTCCGCTCTGACTCCTCTCCTCCCGCCAGGAGCTGGGGTAAGGGGCGCTTGGGTCCTGCCGGGCCGGGGCTTGTATCTTACCCCTTTCACCAGGTGCTGGGTTCTCGCAGGTGTGGATGTTGTCTGGCTGTTGTCCTGTGTCTTCTGGTCTCTCTTTTAGGATTAGTTGTATTTGCTGTATTTTCAAAAATATATATGTTTTTGGGAGGAGATTCCCACTGTCCTACTCATGCTGCCATCTTGGCTCCACCCTCCCCATGTTGTCTTCTATCTGGTGTTTTTCTTCTCTTTGGTTCTAGGGTCTCACTGTCAGAGTTGGAATTCACCAGCAGAGAACATGTGAATATGAAGAAACTTACCAATACTGAAGTTCGCTTACTTTCTGTACTACTCCGATTCCCTTTTCCTTTTCTTTATCCTTGGCAGCTGATTTTCTACTCTCTGTAAATCAATAAAATGTAAGATTATTTCCAAAGGATACATGGAAAGTTCCTTTCTACCACTGATTAGAGAGAAAAGTGAAAAGACTTGTATATTTCAGAATTTAATTTTTCTTGGCATTGTCAAACTTACTAGCTTTTCAGCTGAGTGTTCATATGTGGGTGGTAATAATAAGTTGCTTAATTGCATAAGTTATGATAATGAGTTGGTTAGTCTTCCTTTAGTGTCAGTAATGGAGGGGACATTTTTTTAATGATAAATATATTTGAATGTCATAATTTTACAGTAAAAGAAAGGTTCTATTTTTTTATGTCAAGCCAAAAAGGAGAGTCTGAGATTGCATTTGATATGAAAAATGAAAAACACCCTAAGAGTAAAGACACTAACACAAATGAACTAACATATGTTATAGGATTAATAGAAATGAGAACAGTTTAGCAACAAAAAAATCATGAAGAGCAGCAATGCCTTTAAGATTAAAAGTAGATAATGCTTAGTTGTTGATTCTGCATACCGAAGATGAAATATATTATAGACATCTTGGAAATGTAAGAAGTAATCTGGGTGAAGAAAATTAATAAGTTTGTAGTATTATCTAACATTATATTATCTAACATTGATTCGAAGAGTGTTATATTGTTTTCATAATGTAAGAAGATAAAATGATAAAATGAACAATTTCCATGAATTATAGAAAAGACTAAACAATATAAATTAGTATAAAACCACTATTTCACATGTATGAATTTTATTCAAATGATACCAAGTTGTGCCCCAGAACTTACTTATAGAACTTCTTATCAGAAACTGGAACTTCTTGATAAAGAGCTAGCAACTGATGGTTAGTTTGAAATCAGATTATTCAAAATTTGAACAACTCAAATGAAAGATCACCCAGTTTGAACAAGAAAGATTATAAAGTGTTGTATTAACTATCTGTTAAGAAAAGCACAGAAAATGAAGATCCAGAGATCAAAGTCAGAATGAAAGCTGAGAATTAAATTGGGGTACTTTCTAAATGTGAGTCTATCGCTGTATACTAGAGTGAATAAAGGAAATAAGATTCAGCCAAGTCAAGCTAGCATATGTTTCTCCTAGGTACTCTGATCTAGATAATTGAAGCCAAATTGCTCTTCTCCCTAAATCATCTGTATAAAAGCCATAACTCTCTACTTCATGCTGCGTGTGTATAAAAACAAACATAACCACAAAAATTCAAATGACAGGAATATTTAATTTGAAACATTAAAATCTTGCAGATTGTTTTACTTGTATCTTTTCTGATTATTCTTATACTCAAAAGCAATATGAGGTGTGTGTGTGGGAGGAATGTAGAATAGAAAGCCATTAAATATCTCTGTGGTGCACAGTAGATGCTTATAATGCTGAAGAGCAAGTGTGGGTGTGAAATTCGTATGGAATGAAACAGGACTCTAGTGATGTACATCGCCAATAGACCACCAGGACTGGAAGACAGAAGAAGGGAGAATTCCTGGGGTAACGCTTAGGTTGTGAAGACCACAGGAGACCATGCTCATGAGGAATTTTAACTACCCAAACATCTGTTAGGCTAAAAAAAAAAAAAAAAATTCAACAAAACATGCCTCATCAAAGAAACTTCCCAGGAATGCAACTTTATGATCTAAAAAGAAGAGAAACCAAATAGAAGGCCTTAAAATTTTTTTAAAGTAAGAAATTGTTAATGAGTTACTGTTTTCCTTAACTTATTCTAAATAGTTCAGTGCACTTAACAGAAGTAGATATTATCCTTTCTATAAAGGAGCAATTATATAATGATAAGAAGAGATGTTAGCTATAAATAAATAGGATAATATAATCCAAGACAAAGAGGCGTATTTGCTGGCAGAGCATTTTTAGAATAGGCTCTATCCTTCTGCCACTAGAAGAAATGAATATAATTTATTTTAGACATGCAGTTGTACTTCTGTGAAATTTGTTAGATGTTGTTGAAAGTCTTCTAAGTCAGTTGCCTGAGACTCCCAAATGTGTAATTCAAGATGACATTACTCTCTTCTAGATGCGTAGATTGAAGTTCCTGGTATGACCACTCAGGTTTCCACAGACATCGCAAACCCCATAACACCCCAGCCCCACTGCAAACATTTTCCTACTTGAGTGTTCCCTGTTTCAGTGCACTGCACCATTGCTCATCTAAATGTTCAAGCCAGCAATCTAGGAATCATTCCTAATTCTTCCTATGCCATCCCCACCCCAAGTCCATACCCAAGCTTGTTGAATTTACCTTCTATATATTTCTCAAATTTTTTCACTTTTTTTTCTCTGTTGAGGGTCTCTAAGTCCAGATCCTTGATATTTGTCTCCTAGATGACTTCAGAAGATATCTAAATGGCCTTTCTGTTCCCATTTTCTCTACCCTCCAGCTAAGCCCTGCTTTTGAAGACACCTATCTGACATTATTCTACTGCTTAAAACCTTTGATAGTTGTGTATTTTCCTGTTGTGTAAAAGTCATACTTTTTGCTCTGTGAGGTCATTTATGATTTTGCTTATATTCCCCACACATGCCTTGTGCTTTCTACTTTCTGCTCCAGAATCTTTGCTGTTTTTTCTTTGCTGTCCCTTCTGTCCTCTTCTAAAGAGTAGCTGCCTTTTCTTTATGTTTCATTGCTAAAGTCTCCTTTGCAAAGCCTTCTATAAATTGCTCCCCATTCCCACTTTCCAAAACTTTTATTGCTAAAGTACAAACATATTGCATCATAATTGTTTATTTCTCTCTTTTGAGAACTGCGCTTTTTAAAGCAGAGAAGGCCAGATGATCATGGCTTATGTATGTTTCTACCCTCTGCGCCTACTTGACATCTAAGACAGAATGAATATGGCATTTGGACTCAAGGAAGGCATTTGACTTTAATGTGAAAGTATTTCAATGTTGAAATTTTCTGTATTGCAAAATAGTTCATACTAATTTTCTCCAACTACTTTTTGTCTATAGTTTGTCTTTTGAATACTTGCATGCTTATTGCCAGAATTGATTCTCCCAGTCGGTTACTGTCCTTATTTGACATATTTAGCATATTTTATTTTACAAAGCCAGTCCATTTTGTATCCATTTTTTTTTAGTTTTCCTCTTCATTAATTAACATAAGTCTGAATTACTGCATATAGAAAAAAATGTGCATTTAGTAAATACAGAAGGATTTCAAACAATGAAGAAAAATAATAAATGCCTATTTCAGCATGAGTTGAAGCATTAGTATCTAAATGATTAACTGAGATAAACTGTTTAGAATCTGTATAGCAAGGTGGGATCAATAATAGGTTGATAGTCTGTGAAGAAACAGGAGAACAATGTCTAACTTTGGGCTTATTACAAAGAGAAGCTATTTGGGTGAAACCATAGTAGTAAGTATATATATAATTATCTAACAAAGCATTCAGCTATATACTTAATTCAAAAGAGCTTTTGACAAGTTTACTAAGTCTTAAAGAAGTTTAAAAAGAACATTTTGAAATCCTATTACATAAGCATATAGAATGTGTTTTTCAGCATAACACTAAAATTCAAAGGCTATTAGGAGTATTATCACTGTTATATTTTTTTAAATCATCCATATTATAGAAAACGCAGTTATCATAAGGAAAAAAGAAAGGAGAAAAAAATCTGTCCCCAGTTACTACGTGCATTTATCTTTTAAAAGTTCAAATGAATTCTCTCATTTATTTGTGTCAAACTGCACTTATTGTGACATCTCTGAGAAACCTTGTATAGCACAGTAAGACCATAACAGGTTGATAGTCCATGAACAAACAACGGAGTACATTTTATTTTGACACTTCTGAAAAATCCTCTTCCTTTTAGTTCAAAAGGAAATGTAAAGTAGGCTCGATTCTTTGTGACTTTTGGTCAGTGACCTCAGTTCAAGTCTGCCTCAGTAGGAGGTCCTGGATCAACAAAAATTTAGCTCCATTTTCTTCAGTATTTGCTAAGAAAGTGGGGAGAACTCTGATTTGACTGTGGATAACTCCCAGTTCTGAAAGGGCCACGGAACTGCTGTACCTGGTGGCTTACGTCACTTTATGGTTGGGCCCAGGAAATGAATTGAAAGTGCTTTTTGCTGGATAGTTACTCCATAAGCTGAGCTTATGGAGTATTTATGATGCAGCCTGGTTCTGTTCTAAGAACTTTATACACGGGTGGTTCATTCACAAGCGTCTTTCATTCCCAGAGTGGAGACTCCTAGTAGATCTTGAAGAGGACTTGGGTGAAGCCTCGTGGTGGTATGAAAGTATGAAGAGGTGGAGCCTTCCTTAGCAGGATTATAGAGAGAAGGTATTCAGGTGAAATCATAATTTGAAGGAAAAAATATTAGACCTATAAAATTAAACTATTTATTAAAGCATTTAAATTCTATATTTAATGTCAAAAAAGCTTTGCCAGATTGTTAAGCAAATTTTCCAGGATATAAATAAAAATGTTTTGAAATCCCCTGTGTGTTAGCAAAAGGAAGTTCTTTTTCTGCAAAAGCACGAAAAACCAAACAGTTGGAAATTTTAAGGATTGTCACCATGTGATGTTAACTTTGATACCTGGGACTAAGAAAGACCTGGAGTTATCATAGAAGCTTCTAGTAGATAATCTAATCATCTACGTTCCCAAACAAATTGAATAGACTTTGCCTATCACACATCACCTCAAACTACACTGTGGTTTCTTTGCTCTTTAATGACACCCTTGGTAGTTATTTTACTCTGATCATAACTGCATACAATGAATGGAAGGACAAAGTAGCAACATTTATCCAGGTCCTAACCATCCATTGCAGTGGTGGCCTTACCTGAATTATCCTAGGTTGTTCCTACACGGAGCTTCAAGTCACCATAGAACTGATGCGTTTTTCTTATGTTCTTATGAAACTTGATGGCCTGTTATCACTCTAGATACTTCAGGAATTGGAGGGAGCAACAGTGGGGAGATGCCTCTTTACAGTTTTCCAGAATTAAAGTAAATGAGTAGTGGAAGGAGACCAGTCTCTGGAGTGTTTGGATGTACATTTTTATTGTCACCAGCTCCCAAGCCCACCACCACTACCTCCACAGCCTTAAGGAGGCAGTAATTCAACTCCCCTTTCTGACCTTGTTGCCGAGAGTTGTAATCATTGTCCATCTAATCTAAAAAGCAATGGCACTGCTTTTTAAAGTGGTATGATAATGTTGTAGAGCAGGGTGCTTAAAACCTGTACCACAGGCATGAGAATCCTCAGGAGGGCTTGTTACTCTGCCGAGTGCTGGGCCCTGCCCTGGGCTTCGATTCAGTAAGTCTGGGTATAACCTTAGAATTTGCTTTTCTGACAACTTCCCAGGGAACATTGATACAATGGGTATGGGGAGTATATTTTAAGAACCACTGTTGTAGAAAGTTTTTATAAACATAATACTATTCTAGAAAATGATGCCTTACCTGATCTAAAAGCAATAGTACTGATAAAATAATATTTTCATTCTTACCTGTCAATGCTTAGCATATGGGAAGTGAGTTTTTTCATTCTGTAGTTTTTTTCAACTTAAGCCAACCTGAAATGACTCAGAAAGCTGCTCATTAAGTGTCAAGGAAAATGGCCGTACAATGAAGTCTAATACTGTGGACACACATGAATCATTTTCAATACTTACCAATAGTCTAATTGGATAGATTCTTAGGCTTGTAATATTTGCCCTTTGGGATGCCAGTTTGCTATTGGGAAATCTAACTGTAAGACAAAATTAAAATCTTGTAAAATGGTAGGGAATATTTCATACACCACAGTAGTATCCAAGATTAGGCAGTGAAGTCATCACCAGCTGTAGGGGAACATTCAACACCGGGGAAGTGGTAGCCAATTAGTGCAGTATTATAACCAGCAAGCTATGTCCTGAGATGCTCTTATAAAAGCCTGCATAAATATGGCCAAGATAATTGCTGAACTTCAGGACCCTTGACACTGTGAATTGTTTAAGATGCAGGGAGTCCAACTAAGCCACCCAGCCAATTGTATTTCCTCTAGTCCCGAGAGACACCTAACGCTTAGAGCTGATTCTCCTTCGTGTGCTGAATCAGAGCCGACTTGCATACTGGAGGGTTTTAAAACTTGCATAAGCTGAGAAAGAATGGAGTGCTTCATTTAGTGATGATAGCAGCTAAGACTCTGGTGGTCCACTGTACCCAATCCAGAAACTAAAATACCATGAAGGGGTGGACTGTTTAAATAAACTTTAAACAACTGAAATTCAAATAGATGTACAGTTTAAATCACATGTGGCACAGAGCTCAAAATTTTCCATCTTGTGAGTTGGTGTCAAATCATTCATTTATTTATGTTTATTATTTCAGGAAAGTCACTACACCATGTTGCACTAAATGCCGTAGAGTATTTTCTGCAACATTCCTCATCATTCAGTTAAATTTACAGGGACCTGCAGAAGGCAAACTTGTTAATAAGTCTTTGAGTGTGCTTGTTCTGAAAGTATAGTATTAGACACACCAGAATCTGATGGTTCTTAATCAAAGTGCCATAGGTTTGGGGGCATGCAAACTTTTATATGTACTAGGCAAAATGATGGTCTATCCAGGCTCACCTTTCAGCTAACACACTTGGCATGGGGACACAGATGGATGGGAAAGATGACCCTGACCCACATAAGACCCACATTCCTGTGCAAGGATAGAAGCATGATAATCAGGAAATGATGGTTGTTAGTTACAGAAAATGCATTATTGTGAAAACCAGGGGAAAAGTGGGGATGAGAGGAAGTGATTGGATTATGGGGAATGAAAATAAGGATAGATCATTCCTACTGAGTAAATTGCTGTGATTTATAAGAGAAAGGGTATAGTGATATCTTGGCCCATTACTGACTAGATTCATTTCACAAACAATCCTAAATCAGAATGTGACAGTTTATGGGGAGACAAACAAAGTCTCCCGAAGATGCTTATATGTTACTAAGCTTTTAAACTGGCATGTTTTCAACTCTTTATACCTTTATTGCTTTAAGCTTCCTTAATTTTGTTAGCTGACATTTATAATTGTAATTTTGCATTCCCTCTTATGATGTGACTTTAATAATAGTTTACCATTGCTAGAATAAAAGAGAAAAATAATACTGGATATATTTTATTATGTTTTTTTGAAATTTTGATAAATTCCAAGTGAAATTGCCTAGAAGAAACCTGAAGATACTGCTTAAAAATATGCCACAATATTCAGATAATATTAAGATAACTAGATGCTGTTTTATAATAGAGGTGAGCATTTTGGTCTTGTAAATTCTTTAAATTATCTGAGTTAACCACATGACTACCTTTCATTGTTTCATAGAGTTGAAATGTATATTCAGTTATGTGTTACATGCTTATAGTATATTCAAGTGTCAGTTCAGTTTTGTATGTATTTACTTCTATTTTTTAGTTCATATTTAAGAGTTCTTATTCTACCATATTCTGATTCTTCAAGAAAACAGAATATAATACATGCTATGAGAAATTTTTCACAAAGGATTCAACACAAGAATATTTGTATAACAAAACAGGCAATTTCATCAAGTTTACTGAAAATCAAAACATTATTTGAAGTATTTGGTTCTTAAAAAGCAAAGAAAGAAAAGACTGGAAAAAGTTCAAGAAATGGCATTAAAGCACAACTCAGCAAGGAGCTAAATACCAGGACATTTTATAATGATTAATTAGTGTACAGAACTTAAAATGTTTAGTAATAGTGGTTAGTATGTACCAGAATAATCTCAGAATGTCAATTTTCTCTCCACTCTGCGTGGGGCAGTAGACACTCCTTGATGAGGGCTTTGATTGCTAATACTAAAGGAATGATTTCAGGGTTGACATTTTGCTAAAAAGATGAGAAGCTGAAGCAAAACATTATACTGCTTTCTGAGCTGTTCTATAGATGTACTTGCAAGACTAGCCAGGGGTTACCCTTGGGAAGTGGATCTGTCCTCAGTTCTGACCCTAAAGAGCCAAACCTCAGAGTAGAGAAACATAGAAGGATTTCCAAACACAAGCTACCCTCAACACAGTTACAGAAAAATCTTATCAGCTGAAGCACAGAAAACTCTCAGTAAGCTGCCTGTGATATTTGATGATATACCACTCTGGCTGCCTTTAGGAATGAGTGAGGTTTCAAAGTGTAGTCTCAACATTCATCAAGTTGGGATATTTCATTGAGGTATATGAATCAAGTAGATTCTGGGGATAATTTGTCCTCCTGTGATCTAATTAATTTTGACCCATCTTTCTGTTATGCGTTATATACCATGAGTCAAAATCTGTGGAGGTGCCTTGGAATCCATGATAATAAACCATGGCATTTGTCTCTGTTGTCCATGATAGAGAGCAATTCTCACAAGACCTTAGATTGGCTGTAAACCACACAGCCTGGCTCCCATTTCCTCTCTGAATCTCATTCTAACTTCCTTGGCTCCAGCCTCACTCCATTCCTTGTTATTTCTAGAACACACCAGGCATGAGCCTGCCTCAGGACCTTTGCACTGGCCATTCTCCCACCTATGACATTCTTCCTTCAAACATTCCAGTGCTCCTTAACTTCCTTCAAGTCTTTGTTTAAATGTCACCTGCTTAGAGAGGCAAACCCTGACCACCATATATAAAATAGCAACTCCCATCAATATCTCCATCCCCATTATCCTGCTTCATTTTTTTGTCATAGTACATACTAATTCCTAACATGGTATATAATTTATTGCATATTATATATTAATTTCGCTAAATTTTTATACTATTCCTGTATGTTACTTAACTTCCTCCACTAAAACAGAGGTTCCATGCTTGATCTTTGTCTTGCTGGTCTCTCCAGCACCTCAGAAATAACTGCCGCATAGTAGGTGTCCAATGAACATTTGCTGGGTGAGGAAGAGCAGTTCAATACTAGAAGCTCTATCTGTACAGCTAGGTCCACAACTACCTTGATCCCTTCTATAGGCTTTGTGTCTTCCCAGTGCCTGACACATAGAAGGTGCTCAATAAATACTTGTTGGTTGATAAATACATAAATTTCATCCAAAAGCCAATGGAATATTTGGGTATAAATTTAAAAAAAGGGAGGCTAAAATATTTTCCCATCTAATATCACGTGAAGTGTAGGCTTATCAGAAAACTGTCCCTCTCCTCATGGTTCTTACAGAGCTAGAAGGCAGTGCTTGCAAAAACGTTGATAAATATTAAATACAACACTATTAAATAGTTAATAAATGCCTTCATACATTTGTTTAGCTTCTAGTCCACCCCCTTTTTATAGAGTCAAAGGTAGAAGGTAGGTTATTGAGTTCCACAAAATATCTTATTTTTCAGAGCAGAATTCCCCAGGAGGAAAGTATGTGATAATGGTCAATGATCATGTGCCTGGTCCTGCAGCTCACCCGCTCCTCATTTAACATTTTGAATAAAGAGATTCAGAGCTGCCATTTGTTCAGCTGCTGCCTGTTAAGTGGGCAAAACAGGAAAGAGGGTTGCCACTCCTGAAGAGGAAGTGCATCATTTTGTGAGGGCATCAGAAGCAATTCATGATGCTGGTGGCGGGAGAGCTCTCATAGCTCCCACTTCTCACGTAATTAAGTGAATTTTGCCATAATTTAAGGAAGTGTTCATAAATCTAAGATCATAAAGTTAAAGGTAATAAGACTGAAGATCTCAGGAAATGCAGAAGATGTTTAAGTGCTGAGATTGCACAATCTTTTCTACATCAGTTAACAAAGAAATGTACCCAATTCTGTCATCATTATTAGCATCTCTCGGATTCTCAAATTGAGGGATCCTGGAGTGACCTCCTTCACTTTTCCCCTGGATGCCTCTCTGGGCCAGACAGACTGGATCTCTGAGTCAGTGTTCCACGTATTGCGCAAGGGTTAACGAAGTAACAATCGGAAGATAGGAATGGCGTTCCAAAGGCATATTCTACAGAAACTTCTATATACATATTTGCCAGATTCCTCTACAGTAACATTGGAATACTGTTTTAAAGTGTTTCAAATTTACTATTAAAAATTATTTTTATGGGCTGAGTTGGGCACTTAAGTTCCGTACGAAGCGTTATTTGTCTTGGAGACATGTTCTGAGTACCAGTTAACTCACTCACAGTTCAAAGATTGTCACTACTATTAACATCTTAAATACCTATCTAGTATTGAAATGGTGTTGAAATAAGCTTTTTGACTCTCTTCAGAGCATCTGACTCATTTGTACCACATACACTTGCCATATTTATACTATCCCAACTTGTAAGGAATTATCTGAAACTTTTTAAAAAGCCCCTTTCCGTCCCGGTCCTGTATTCCTAGTTCTAGGCTAATTTCTCCCATTGCCAGGTAGGAATCTCAATCCTTGTGAGTTTCTCAGACACTGTGAGCACAAACCCAAATTTAGCATCTCCTTCCATAGTCTCAGTATCTGTTCCTGAATGTGCTGTTGTGAATTTGATCCATATTCTCCCAGTATTAATATGCAAATTAGCTTTCACTACATCCTCTATCTCAGTTTTATTTTCTTCTTTATGTCTTCTCAGGAATATGTGTTCAGTATTTGCTCATGTGGATTTAAAAAATCATAAATACTAGGATATATTTATCCCCCAATATTTAATGTCCCTAGAATTGACTAGGGGTCATAGGAGGACAGAGATGTGGATGACTAGGTGAAGGTCTATGTCAAATTAACTGTAACTAAATCCTTCTTAACATATTAAAAACTCTTCTAATTCCTAGCAGTTTCACAAATTGAAGTTTTACGTAAGGGTTTTCAGCACTCAATTCCTTAAACATATTATCTCTTATTTTGCACTCGATAAAAAAGCAACAATAATAAAAGTAGAAAAAATTAAAGAATTTGCTTGGAATCTTAATGAAGTTGGTAAATGTTTACATTTGTAAGAAAAAGAGTTGTCCGTATAACCTATTTTCCATGTCACCCCCTCAGTGAAAATAAAACCAACCCAATTTACATTCGTAAGGCAGCCCATGTTCAGTGTAATTTGTTGCTTGGGTTTCATTTTTCTATAGTCAAATATGTTTTTGTAAGCTTTCTTAACATTGTTAGGCTGCTTTAAAATAAAACTATTTATCAAAAAAGGCTTATTTTAGCAATAGTAACAATTTCTTTTCAAAATATCATTTTGCGCTTAAAAATCCTATATTCATGATCATTAATCTCTGGCGTGGAAGTTCTTTATGTACAGTAATTATTTGAGAGGAATTACACCTTTAGATTTGCCAGTGCTGTGAACTATAAATTAATGTATAATTATTTAAAATATCCTTTTCTCGTGGTCTTTTCTGTTTTGTACTGTTGCAAATACTAACTCTAATGTAGCAGGATAATTAATTTTCTGTTTCCACAGCTCCAGATGGTCCTCCTGAAAATGTGTTCGTAGCAGCAACGTCAGCTTCTAGCATCAGTATCAGCTGGAGTGAACCTGCCGTCATTACTGGACCAACTTTCTATCTGATAGACGTCAAATCGGTAAGGCACATCTCATCTGCAAAGGCAGAACATGGTTAAGAAAACAGGTTTTGGAACGAAGACTATTTGAACTTTAATCCTAACTCTGTTAGACCTTAGACAACTTACTTAACTTGTCTGGGTTTCAGTGTCCACGTCTGCAAAATAAAGATTGATAATAGAAGTCAGGATGCAGAGAATTTGTGTGTGAGATCAAATTAATAAATATGTGCATAGAACTTAAAACATTGCCTGACACGTAGTAAGTGCTCAGTAAATGTAAATGAAGCATTATGACCATCATTGTTCATCCCAGGGTATTATCCTCAGAATATGGATGACGTATATAAACAAGTGGTTAAGTTGATAATAATACGTTGACTTAAAATTCAATCACAAAGAACCCACAATACAAAAGGAACAAAGAGAAGGAATTAGGGGAAATAGCTCCCATACAAGATAACAGGAGGGCTCACTCTTGAAAAAGTAACTGAGTCAGAACATGAAAAAGAAATGCTAAGAGAAGTGTGAAAAATGGGTTTCATCCAAAACAAAGCTAGTCCGTCAGTCATTCAGGAACGGAGCGAGCCTTCAAGAAGAGTGCCGAGAGAGGAAGTTAGGTGAGGATGCTGACTGTACATGGGTACCAAGTCTGGCTTTCACGCTATAGGCAGTGAGTGCCTACTGAGAAATTAAAGCAGTGTTGGGATAGAGGCGTCTATTTTTACCGGAGCGGGTAGTTTTAGAGCAGCCCTAGGGGTGCAAAAATTAAGCATGGAGCAGGTAACTGTAAGAGTGAATTGGGAAGAAAAGATAAGGGTCAAGGAAATGTAGTGAGGAAACAGAATGAAAGAATCATTTAAGTCTACAGGATTTGGTGAAAAAAAATCGTGGATGGTGAGTATAAAGGATGCTCGAGGATGACCCTAAGGCATGTGACTTGGAAAATTGTCCGAAGTGGGTTTGTGGAGGAAAGGAATGAATGAGCCCCAGCGGCCCTGAGTTTGAGATGCGCGGGGATCCCGCAGGTGCTGTCACTGTTAGGGTTCCCCATAGGAACCTAAGAAGTGTGGCTCCTAGGCGAGCGCTGCCATGCTAGGATGAGATGAGGTTAAGGACGGAGCGTGTAGAGTGAGATCCGCTTCTGCAAGAACCAACCTGAGGACAGTACCCTGGGGAGTACAGACCGTTACAAGAGAGGCCGAGAAGGCGATAGCTGGAGTAGCCATGCAGACAGAAGGAAACCCAAGCACGAGCAGCAAGCCTTTCCCTGAAACAAGGAGCTCAGCGGTGTAATGCAGAGTGCCAGCTAAGATGAGGACCGGAAAACCCCTTTGGCACGGGCTTGGGTTTTCCTGGGTGATGACCAGCGTCTTCAGGTAGCATCTAATGCATTAAATGAGGTAATTTATGGTGACTTCTCTTCCACCTTTCTTGGTGTTTTTGTCTCTTGTTTAACCTTTATGGTTTTATTATGATTTTAGGTTATTTTTTAAATGGAAATATTTCTCTCTCAAAAGACTTTCCCAGATTAAAAGAAAATTTAAGGGATTATTGGTCCATTTGTTTTCCAATTCAGTCTGCAGCTTATGTTCCTTTTTTACCTGTGAAGCACACTTGTGAAGAGTTTTAGTTCATAAATAGCCAGAAATAATCAATACAAATGATGAATGCTCTGGGAATATGCAGTAAAAGCAAGTTATAAAGTGATAACATG